AGATATTTTTTTATATACCTATTTGTGTTTGTTGCTACCGTAAATTTGGTCACCTTGCAACAAATTTCATCATATTGTATTTTCTCTGTGGCTTTGTGTCAGTCTGTTAGGGAGGCCTATGTTCACCAGTGGACTCGAACAGGCAAAATTAATGATGATGATGATGTTAAAATGGATTGGTTGAAATTTGCACTTCTTTCTGAAATTATTTTTTTCCACACACTTTCTTTGTGTGAAAACAAATATTGTGTAAAATGTATTAAAAATGTGGATTTCCAGGCTTTTAATCATTTTAATTTATTTAAATTTTAATAATTTTTAATTTGTTTATTACCATTTTCAGACCCATAGCCTCAGTGATGACCCAGACATAGTTTTATGTGGTCACAAATGTGATTTGCAAGAAAAAAGACTGGTAAATCAGAACCGTGCCAGGGAGTTTGCCAAAAATTACAATTTACCATATTTGGAAACAAGTGCCAAAACTGGACAGAATATTGATAGAGCTATTGAAATTCTTCTTGATAAAGTTATGCAAAGGTATGCATACCCAATTCACTATCATATTTTTAAAATATTTACTTTATGAAATACTAAAAGAGTGAAATAGTAAAGTTACTTTACCATAAACAAATAGTTTTATATTTACTAGCTGACTCGGCAAACATTGTTTTGCCATATAAATTATTTCTAGAGGAATCGGAACGCACAAATAGTGTTTGACAGGTAACACAGACATAGTTGACAGGTTGACAGGTACAGTTTGTATGGGAAAATAAAATTGTTGCTATTTAGATTTTCCATGCAATTTTTCCATAATTTCTCATAGTTTAAACCTTCACTGGACTGCCACAAATGTTTCAAAACCAAAATTAGCCGGTCAAGCCGTTCTCGAGTTTTAGAGAGACTAACAAACAGCAATCCATTTTTATATATAAGATTAAAGTGTATCATCTGACAAAAAACTTGGAAAATAATAAGGGTTTTTATAATTCTGAAATCCATAGTTATATTGAACACGGCCCGATGATTTTTGGCTACATTTTATATAAGATTATTTTAAAGTGCCTATTGCATAGAGTACAATAATGCTAAACTACACATTCAACATTATGCTTAAAGATTCATTATTAAAAGAGAATCTTTGTATCACTAATTGTTTTATTTCAGTTCTGTATTAAGCATATTTTATTATAAAAATTTTACTTTGAGCCAGATTTGTTAGTCACCTATTAACAAGTAGTAATTTGTAGCAATTGTGTTGACGTGTCTTGTATTATACTTACGACAGAAATTACACTAAATCTATATGAAATTTATAAAAAATAAATCAACATCAGCTTAGTCATTCACCAACTAGTTATAAAAATGTTTCGTAAAAAAAAACAATTATTAAATCTTATATACAGCAACATAACTTATGTATACTTATTATTAATGTATGTATATGTATGTATGTATGTATGTATGTATGTATGTTATGGGTGAAGTGAAAGCTATTCAAGTGACTAAGTTTAGTGACTATAATTTGAAACAATTTAATTTTTTTGGTTTTAGAATGGAGAACTCAGTGGAATATGCAATGTTGTGTGCATCAGGTCGTAGGCGTCAATCATTGCAAAAACTTCAAGCAAAGCAAGATCGAAAAATTTGTTCATGTTAAGCTCCTCTATGGTAATAATCAATCCATAAACTTAATATCATTCTCATAAGATTCCATTTTCTAAACATAATAAAGAAACATATTTATAATGGATAGTTATTCAAATTTATAATGTGGATGGGCTTAGTGCTAGTATTTGTATTTAAAACGAATTTTAATAAGATATCTCATTTACTGAGTCCATCCTCTGATTTTTGTGAATAATATAAAGGTTAAACTTATTAATCAAAAACATTGGCTGAGATATCCTGCCAGTGTGCAAATTTTGCCATTGTTTTGCTCTTCCTGTACTTGTATTCTTGTGCTAAATATTAACATTGGGCGTAGTATTTGAGAAGTGCCTAAAATGGTCATACGAATTTAAAAAGACTTAATAATTGACACTCACAAATATAAGGATTTTTATATTTTAAGTATTGAAATCAATATTTACATTGAGCGTGGCACACATCAGTGCACTATGCCCTCTTGCAATAGACTTTAATATTTGAGAACTGTTTCATATTGTACTGTGTCCTATTTAAACAACCAAAAACTCATAATATAGTTATATTGATGGAAAGAACAAATAAGTAGATATGTTTTATTTATATTAATTTGTGCGACTAAACCAATAACTATTACGTTTTGTTCCAAATATGTTACAATTGCATTTGAAATATAAATTTTCAACAGTCAACAGTCCTTAAGCGTGCATATACTTTAGCGAACTTATGTTTTAAGACCTAAAATCTTTTAAATGTTTTAAATTTTGATATTACCTTTTTATGGTCATGTCTGGTAAATTTTACATTATTTTAAAATGTGGCTGGAAGTAAGTTGCTATGCTTCAAAAATAATAATAATGTTTTAAGACTTAAAATCTTTTAAATGTTTTAAATTTTGATATTACCTTTTTATGGTCATGTCTGGTAAATTTTACATTATTTTAAAATGTGGCTGGAAGTAAGTTGCTATGCTTCAAAAATAATAATAATGCTTTCCTTCATTAAATATTATTATGAATTTCTCATAATGTTCTTAATAGAAGCAGTACCTACTTAATGAAGAAAAAACTTTAGCTATCCACGACTAAATTTGGAGAGACTGATTTATTTTGTTGTAGTATTTTACGAAATGAACAAAGAATTATTGATATATCATGGATCTGTTATTTGAATTGTAAAAATATTTTACTGTAAAATGAAAATGCTGTTTTTGGGAAGATTTGATTGTTTTTGATATCCATGTGTTAAAAGAGGATTTATTTATCTTAGTTTTTACAGTTGCTGAATGTGTTTTACCATTATTTATGACATTCCTTATATGTAAATGAGTACAGGGTACATTCTAGTCAACCGTTGAGATTTGTTACATTTTAATTTGGTATCTGTTATATTCACTTTGTTATAATATTTAATGAAGTGTTGTGTTTATTGCACTGTTTTCGTTTGGGAGTGTTTTGAGAGTTCACATAAGTGTAAATGCAGAAAACTATGAGTTTTGTTAGTTTATAGGGAAATGGTTTTAATGTTTTTAGTACAATGTAGTTCATTTGTTTAATGTACATAGTTTAATGTGGTTATGCTGTAGTTAAATACATTGAATTCATTCGATAGAATTATAATCTGGGAATTAAAAATATCAAAATGCATTGTCATTCTAAATTGATTAAAATGTTTTGTTGCTAACATGTTCCATGTCGGAAAATCAATGAATTTTTATGTATTAAAACAATGAACATTTCATGTTCATTTATCCAATAAATGTTATACTGCAGCCTCTCTATGTGGATGTTTCTATAATATATATTCTGTGAATAACCATTCACAAAATATATATTATAGAGAGTTTGTCAAAAATTGCCAAAGACCAAAATTTCTCCAGTTGCACAAATACCACGCACATTAATTTGACTATAGTAAATGTATTGTTTTGTAATTCCATAATAACTTAACTGTAATAATTTTTACAATCCATTTATAATTTTAATCCTATACAGTTTTATAAGAAAGTTTGTATCATAAGTAATCTTAATGATTTTTCAGATTTTATAAATGTTTACCTCTTTGAAAAACTTTCAATTTTAACATAATATGTAATTATATAGGACACTGGTGACTTACCCCGACCAACTGCCGTGTATAATTTAAGGTGTGTCAATTGTGAACGATTGTTTGATGTTTTCGATGTAATAAAGCATTTAGAAAAACTATCTCTTTTATGTGAAAAGGTGTCTGTTCTCCTGTTGGTAAGTAATAACCGCCGCAAAGGAATTTGAAATGTTATCATCATCCACATCATTTCAGCCTTTTCGAATTCCCTGCCCAACATAGGCCTCCAAAGTTAAAAATAAATTCTTTTTGAATATCACAAAGTTATAATTTAAAAGTCAATAGAAGTATACGTTTGGTTAGTTGCGCTTAAAAGTAAAAGCTGTCAGTTGCCAAGTTGTTCTATTAAAGCTTCTCCAAACTCAAAACTCATAACGTCAGATACCACGTGCTTGATACATACGGTCCTCGTTGGTTATGACCGCGTGAGTTATCGATTAGGGTAGGAACCTACAGCCCAAGGTGGTTCAGTACTAGGTTGGGCGAGATTAAAACCGTTTTGGAAAGAGGGAGTACCATTATGTTGTTCTCGTTGTGCTCGTAGGTTCTTCTCCCGAGGGATCGATTGGCCGTACATCGTGATTTGCCCCAGCTTCCTCTTCTGGTGAGTTCACGACATTGGGTAGTTGGGGTTGGCTGTAGCGTAAATAGTGCTGTTAATGGCAAATGGTGGCTCCAGTTAGTGGCTCATCGCAATTACATAGTTGCAGGAGTAGATCTTGCCTAATCAAGTCAATCTCGCCATATGACCCATATGTATATTATACATTGCGTTATTACTCGTAGCGTATTAACAAATCCATGAAAACTGTAGCCTAACTACGGGTTTTTAAGGGGTAGCCGCCGCCCATGGACATATTATAGTCCATATAACAGCAAAGTCATAGTAAGAGTTTTGGAGCTAACTCGAACACGGTGGTAGGGCTGTTGGACGAATGGGCAGGCCCGTCCGGGTAAGTATCACGACCTCACAGAACACCGGCGTAAAGTGGAAGTATATACTTTCGCGTTTCGTCTGGTGAGTGATGTGGCCCAATTTTCAAGAGGTTGTAAACGCATCTGGAACCCTCGGTTGCAGCAGATGTCCATGGGCGGCGCTATTCACTTAACACCGGGTGAACCGTCTGCTCGGCAACTTTTGACATAAAAAAAACGTCGAGCGGTCTTCAATCCGTTAGTCGTAGGTGCCGTCACCTACAAACCCCTATCGTATGACTATCGCCATCGACAGGATAAACCAATTACGGAAACACACAAAAACCCACCGCACTCGCCGGCGAGTGCGGCTAACATATGCTATCTAGTATATGTACCTTAATGATAGAAACGTTGCTGGAGTTTCTTCCGCCACTTCTTCCAGCGCCAACGTTTTCCGAAGTTGTAGTAACGATAGCTTCTTCTTCTAGGAATTTCTATCCCCTAGTCAGACTATACCGATCGAGCCGCGGTCCAGCCCTCTCGAGCACCCTCGAATCGGAATGCTAAACGGGTACTGAGTAACAGGCCAAGCCGAGGTCCCCTCTCGGGTTTAAAATAATAATAGCGTGATGGCCCGAGCCAAGCCTCGGTAGCCCTCGAGTTTAGTCACCCATAATCGAGGTACAGGCTAGGCGCCATCAGCGCCCGGCCCCCTCGAGCCCGGTGGATCTGTAAAGGCCTTGATAGGATAACAGTGGTTGATACAGCAAAAGAAAAAAGCTAGTCTGTACTTACGGAGATCGTTGCATTGTATTTATGATGTTTATTAGTTAATTTTATATTATGATTTAATAAGGTCTTCTGACCTGAAAACATTCTAATGTGAAAATCGTGCAAGTAACAAGCGATTTCAGCCTTCTAGCCCTTTAATATCGTTTGTGCTAAAGTACGAAACAACTGGAGTCGGAAGTTTTATATGTTTACTAGCTGACCCGGCAAACGTTGTTTTGCCATATAAATTATTTGTAGGGTAAAAAAATGTGTGTAGTGGACCACCCTTATCATTTCGGGGGATGAAAAATAGATGTTGTCCGATTCTCCACCCTGGCCGATATGCACACAAAATTTCACGAAAATCGGTCGAGCCGTTTCGGAGGAGTTCAATTACAAACACCGTGACACGAGAATTTTATATATTAGATTAAATGAGTTTCATTTAACATTTATTTATGGAAATTGACGTCCTGGTGTATGAATTAGAAATATGTGCTCATCGATTGTATATAACATGGTAGCGTCTGGAAACTGGTACTGGAGTAGGCCCTCAGACATGCATAAATTTTACCGCTCATGTCAGTGTACTAAGAGATTATTCATATAATTCCTAGCGTATGCATCTATTTGTAAGTACTTGAACTTCTCGAATTATAAAAACAATTAACATTGCCGGAACTAATTAACGTTAAATAAATTAATTGTCGCGCAAAGATTCAATGTTGTGTAATTTTTTTTTCAAACATTGCCCTTATTTTAGGATAACATTATCCTGTGTTGTAAGGACGTTTTACAAACATAGGTAAATTTCACATGGACAAACACCCAGATGCGAAACAACTACCTGTGGGTCACATAAATAGTCCTTTATGGGACCCATAGATTGTCTCGTGTGGGAATCGAACCCACGACCCCCGACGCCGAAGCCAATATCTTGGCAATTGCGTCACGGAGTCATCAAAATTGCTCATTATCAAATTGTTCTTCATGTAGGCTGTATTCAAATATGGGCTTCCAGTGATTATTATTTTCTAAATTTTATTTTAATGTGGAAGGTCAAGCGAGCAGGCGGTTGATCTGTTAAGTGATTAGAGCCGCCCATGGATATCCACAATAACTAATGAATTGCAGATGCAGCGTCAACCATTAAAAGAGTGGGCGCCACCACCACCTACGCCACAACCACCCCACTCACCAGACGAAACGCGAAAG